TTCTTTGTTGTATCTTTGTTCATTATCTTTTTTCAAATCTTCTTTTGCTATATCCAATTGTAAACTAATTTGTTCAAAACTTGCTTTTGTCGTTGTTTCATATTTATCTTGTTTATCTTTAATATCCTCTCTTAGAACAGCAATATCATATTCTATTTGATCACGTGATTTTTTCAGTGTCTCTTTGAGATCACCAGGACCAACAAATGTTTTTTGTTCTGTCAGTACTTTGGCTATCTGTTGAGCCGTTTCTTTGGTAAGCATGAAACCACCACCACCACCCGTATAGGATGAATTGTCGGTGTCATCACCATCATAAAATGCACCCACCTCTTGCATTGTTTTATCAAATGTTGATTTTATTTTTATTTTAACCTCTTTAGTCACTTTGGCTTCTTTTAAATTTCTACTTTCTTTTATTATTTTAACTGTGTCATCATCAATCGGGAATTGGGCAATATAAACATAATCAAATGTTGCTAAATCAGTTAGTTCTGGATCTATTCTATCTTTTGGTATTTGATACTGATATATTTCACCATAGCGATCCATCATTGATACACATCCGAATAGATATCGTATTTGTACTTGTAGTTTCTTTTTGTGACCATCTTGATCTGTCGTTATCACTGGAATTTTCAATTTATCTGTTGATACACCCATACTATCACTTGCAGACTTCATAAAACCTTGCTGAATTGGATCTCTTTTGGCTACATACAACCATAATTGTTCTGCCAATGGTTTTGTTCTGATAAATCTATTTTCATTCTTACCGGATTTCAACGAATCAATCATCCATTCAAGCAAATATTCAGCGGCAAGAACAATTGCCATTTCTCGTGCTTCTTCCGGACGAACATTAAATTTCTCCTTGGTTTCTTTCATAAATGTACCAAAAGGATTACTCCCCCGAATTTTCTCTGATGTATCAATCAATTCTATTTGATGTTGATAATAGAGTGTTAAAAGACCAGCTGTATTTGAGGCTGTTCGTTGTAATTCTTCAATATTACCCAGTGTGGATATATTGTACCATTCTTTTTTTTGTTGTTTCTCATCCAGTTTTTCTAGACCTTTGGAAACTGGTATTTTGACCCCCTCCAAAATTACGCCGACTAAAATAGCAAAAATAATAATTTTTTAATCATGTAGCTTGCGTACGCACCACTTCGATATCTTCTCTCAGAATGTGATGAGTATATAGGTCTCCTCGTTGTGAGCGCTCCAAATATATATAACCTTGAAATTGAACGAAAAGCCACCTCGATCATAGTTTTCGTCATGAGATGTGATCGGATTACATCTCATGACGGCAGTCATTTGCAGTCTCGGAGACTGCAAATGTTTTTTTGAGTTAGGCGTCCTATGTGACATCAAACTTTTTAAGAGGAAGATAAGATGAGAATCCGATCTTGTCTTTCGAATTATTTTTTTCTGATCATTAGATAAAAACTCTGACTCTCTGTACTGAATGGGCTAATGCTGATTCTTATCTTTAACATAAAAAAAGCTGACACCGACTAGACAATCGTCTTGATTACTCGAAAAAAACGACTTTTTACCTATTTTCTGATATAAGTATATCTGTATAAAAGCGTAATTTCAACGCCAGTGTAACTATGAAGTTGCCTGATCTATAATCTACCCAGCAGTGTAAATTGCAAGTCTGTAGCTTTCTTTTCTACGTAGGAAGGCGGTTCAAGCATTTAATGCTCAGGCAGTTTTTAAGGGCCCCCTCCCTCTCTCAGAAATTATTTCCGGCACCGTACATCCGATCTTGACGAAACTTTCTGTAAATGTTCGGCACAATGAGTTACGAGAATGAAAAGATTTTTTTGTCTGCAAGTCTTACGGTTTAAGAGTTTTCCAGAGATCAAGGTCCAAAAAGGACCTGAACGGCGTCCCAAGATTTTTTAATATACTTCACCGGAGAGTTCGGGTTTGTTTTATTTTAAACTAGACATCTAACTACATCGACTGACCGGCGCCGATTTTTTAATTAAGCCTTTATTGGTTTTCTGGGCAACCAACAACCTGCGAGACCCGAAAAAGCCTTCCGGATTTTCTAAAAATCTTCAGTTTGACAAAAAACTAAGACCTAATTCAAAAATCGATGCTGGTCAGTCGATGTATTTTTTTTTCCTCTTTTAAACAAAAAAAGAATGAACTCTCTACGACAAACCGCTATTAAAAATCTTGGGACGCACTTCAGGTGTAACTCTTATATAGCGAAAACGCTATGTTA